CTGTGTAGCTTCCATTCACTCCGCCGCCATTTTCAGTCTCCTATATTTGTGTATATAATTCTTATCAATCAAAAGCAAAGAGATATAGCCAAATAGAAAATTGATCAAAAGATATAAGTAAACAATATATAAAAGGACAAACACAGGAAGTTAGAAATATTTGAAAATATATTCAACCTCACTAGAAACTAAAGAAATATAAATTAAATTTAAAGCAAATTAAATAAGGCCAATAATAGACTCAAGAAAATAGCACAAATAAAAAGGAAAACTAGAAACACTACAATAATGCACCAAAAATGTGAGTAGCTAATTTGCAAAAGACTTTTATGAAAACATTTAACCTCATTATTAATCAAATCTATATACATTAAAACAATTGGGTATTTATTCATTTATCAAATCTAAAAAGACTTTCTCTTTTGATGCTATAAACTTTTTAAACTGAGGTATAACTGACGTGAAACATTTTATAAGTTTTAGGTGTACAGTATAATGATTTAATATTTGTGTATATAAATATTTTTAAAGAACAGATTTTTTGTCTATAAAACTATGGAACATGCACTGCTAATCACACTGTAATTATTATATACTGTATAATTAGGGTAATATATTATGATTTGATAATAAAATCAAAATTTGATATAACCTTAGAGCCAGCAATTCTACTTCCAGAAAGTTAACCTTAGGAAATAGACATAGTGATGAATAAAGAGATCTCCGTTAGCAGCATATAACGGGCAGGGGAGGGGGAGAGGGTCAGTGAGAAACCTAGGAGTCCAAAAATTGAGGGGGGGGATGACCCTCATGGAGTTATTGGGAGGATTATATGAAGTAATACTTGTCTATGGCAGTGCCTGGCACAGACAAATGTTAATTAATGTTAGCAATCACTACATATGTCTTTGTATCCAGCTTAAAACCTAGTGATGTGCGCTAGATACCTGTTAATCTGCAGGGAGTAACAGCACGAATACCAGACCTTAGCCCTGTACCTGCAGTGTCAGTAATTTATACCTGAAGGAGAAGGAGTCATTGTGGGCTACAGAAGTAAAACGCATGTTCCTGCAGACACTCAATTTCCTCCATTTTCTCTTTAAGGGAAGAAAATGGACAGTTTAAGAAAAGACATATTAAATAGTGGTTCTAAAGCAATACATAAGGTAATATCATAAACTAAATATACCCCATTTATATTGGGCATTCCTGCACTTGGGAGAATAGGTTATGCTTCATTCACACCTCAACTTCTTGACTTGACAACTCCAGTGGTGGCCCCAAGTGCTCTGGAACTCAAATACTTTACTCAGTGTTCTTCAAACTGCATCCATCGTCCTGTGACATGTTCATCACCTTTCCATGGGGAAAGTAAAAGAATGGAGGTTTTCTATAGTTCAATAGCTTTGGGAAATATTGATAAACAAAGTTAAGCAGGTTTCTCAGGGTTTTGTTTTGTTTTTTTTTGGTATAAATCTCTAGGAGAGAAAGGGGTACATACATAGTGCTTCCCCCAGTGTTTTGGACCATGGAATTCTTTCTCATAAGAATCCCATCAATATCTTCCATTGCACAGAAAGTAGTGGAAGACAGGCTGCTTTCATTGAAAGGAAAAGCCTTCTTGGCTAATAACAGCTAATATGGATGATATTTACATATTTTTTAAAAAGGAGAATTCACATTTTGAATCCTACAGAATGCCAGAGATGTAAACAACTAGTTATATAATTAATGCATCAACTGCATTATGTTTTATCACCAAGATCTTACAGAGGAAGAATCTGAAGCTCAATGTCACGTAGCTAGTAAGTCAAGGAAGTGGCAGCTTCCATTAATTGAAATACTTCTTAAACATCTGGAATTGCAAACTGGGAAAAAGACTGGCAAATGAAAGAGAAAGATAACTCCAAGGTATGTGTGCACAATTTACATGTTTTTCTTTTCATCATTTCACCCCCACCCCAAAAGTATGTTAACTGAAATCCACTAGGAGTAAGAGGGGAAAGATAATAAGTCTTAATACAAAACATACAGAACAAATGCAATTGCTCTAAGAAAAAGCACAAGATGCCACAGAAAATATTGACTATGTTTTTTTTCACATTTTAGGACCATAATTTCTTTATCCCCACCGAATAATTTTTATAGCAGGTCTGGTGAGGTACATGAGTACTGAGTCTCTATTTCAGTGGTCCTGGTTTCCTTTGAATATGGAACCAGTAAAATTAAGACACACATTTTTTTTTTTTTTTAATTATGTAGAAAAACAGGGAGTGAGATCTGGAATCTGCATTAAACATTTTTTCCTGCTGAAATATATATATTATATATCTCCATATGTGTCACACACACACACACAATGTATATGGGTAACTAGTACTGTTGTTCACAGGATATCTTCCAACTGTGCCCACTGATGTAAAGTAACAAGTTATTTTTATAAATTGGATACAGTTGATTATTGGATCAGAGGGCTTAACACAGATGAATGATTTCTTGAGAGGCTACCACTACCTTTCTGGAATAAGAATACTCAAAGAACTTTTGTGACATTACACTGCAGATTCCCTCCCCTTAGGAAATTTAAATAATCTAAGGTGTAGGGCCAAGGGCAATAAAATTGCCAGGTTCTGGTCAATGGACCACTTTTGCAATACCTAGGGACACTAAGGTCAGACATTATTTCTCATAAGGAACACTAATGTAATTTGTGATTTAAAAGAAAGTCACCTCGGAAGTCAGTGACTACTACCTAATTGCTTGAAGGATTTTCCAAGCAGATGGTCTGGAAACCTTTTGCTTATTGCCATCTCTGATTTTTTTTTTTTTGGATATTTTGTTCAGATAGAGTGGGGGGGGTGGAGAGAGAGAGAGAGAGAGAGAGAGAGAGAAACATCGACGTGAAAGGGACACATCGAGTGGCCGGGGACAAACTGCAACTGAGGTACGTGCCCTTAGCGGGAACTGAACCCAGGTCTCTCGGGACCGCAGGCCGAAGCTCTAACCGCTGAACCAAACCGGCCAGGGCCCATCTCTGAATTTTTAAAAAATTTTTTCCTCTTAAATAACTTGGAGAACATGAAGCAAAGCAACACAGCTTGTAGTTTTGAGAGCATTTCCCCACACAGAACTCTGTCGCACTTCTCATGATAACCTTACAGTAGGCAAAGCAGGTACTTTTATTCCCATTTTTAAGATGTGTCAGCTGAGGCTTTTACAGCCACAGTGAAGAGGACTCCAAGGGTCAAGCCCAGCACCCTTAAAGTCACAACCTGGGGACTCCGCATGAACGAACTGGGAAGCAAAGTGGAATTACCACAGAGAAATGCACCTCAGAAAATCTTGGGTTTCTTTTCCTACATCTCACAGATATTTTTCTGAGACAAATTTATACCACGGCCACCATACACAAACATTCTGATCAAAAAGTCATATTCGTGTATCCACAGAGTAGGTAATCTTATAAAGTGTTGTTTGTTTGTTTGTTTGTTATTGTTGTTTTTCTTTCGTGAAATTGCCTGAAAACAGCTCCCCCTTGCTGTCTTTTAAAGCGTATCTTCACCGAAGTTAAAACGCAGAGTTCCTGTAAGAGAGTATTTCTGTAAGAGAGTATTTCTGCCTCGCTTGGGCCCGCAGCTGAGCTCCAGCTGTCCAGAGCACCTGATTAATAGGCAGGTGGTCTTTTCTCTCTACCTTCGGAGTGCCTCGTTCCTGCCTGGAGATTGCCCCTTTCTCACCCATCCCCACCTCCTACCCCCGCCCCTACCCCCCAGCACCCCCCAGCGCAGGAGTCCTGCAGTTTTTCCACTGGTTGCCCTGAACAGCGCTGCCTGGGTGGCCGTTCTCCCGCAGCTGCTTTCTGTCCACTCAAGGAGATGTCCCCATGATTTAGATGTCCCCACGGACTGCTGTAGCCCAATTCCCGCCCATCCCCCCTGTGGGAATCAAGCTTTTCTCCGGAGAAAACCCCAGGAATCTAGTTTAGAGAAGACTCCCTAAGTCTTGCCCCACCCCCACCCCCTATCCTGGGGGAAACTGGAAAACTGGGAGACATTCGCCCCCGGTCAGCTGTAGACACACGCACCGGCCAGGAGAGCTGCAGGGGGAATGTGCGCCCTCCTGTTTGTAAGTGTAGGTAGGGTAACAAAGTGCCCGAAGAAGTTGCTGGGGAGAGCGCGCCCTCTAAATCACCTAGTTGTTAGCAGCAGAGGAGGGTGGGGACTAGCGAGGCAGGGAGAGATAGAGTTCCTGTCGCCAAATTGCCCTGGGAATAAAAGTAATCAGGCTCGCTCTGGAGGAAGAAGCGGTGGAAGAGGTGGAGTCAAGCGCCAAAGTCCGGCAGGCTCGCTGCCGGGTGGTCGATTTCTAAGTAAGGTATTGGCGGAGGGAGTGTGTTGAATTGAAATGCGGGGTTAAGGTGGCTGTTGAGGGAGTCTTGAGAAAATGGTAGTAAACCCAGAAAAGGCACGACACGCACTGTCCTCCAAGATTTTTGGAAGAGAAGAGCAGGAAAGCGACACGCTCCCGCCTATTATACCCATTAATAAGGCAAATCTCCCAGCCCCACCCCTGCAGTCATGATGCAAGGAGGACACATCGCGGACATCGGGAGGGGAAAACACACACACACACACACACACACACACACACACACACACACACGCGCGCGCGCGGGCACGGGAAGGGAGTAAGGAGGTGGGGAGAGTAGACACCGAGCAGTCTCCAACCACTGGGGCTAGAGGGAGCGCATTCCGGGGAAACAAACCCCGCCTAAATAATTGAGTTTGGCGCTTTCAGAGGCTCAGAGCGCACCTCCCAGTTTCGTGGGGGTTGAGAGAGGGCAGAGCAGGAAAAGCGCCCAGCGAGGGGACCGAAAGCAGCTCAGTTGGTGGGTAGGACACTGCACCAGGAGACCCCTGAGGGAAGGAGAGCGGAGCCTGGAGCCGCGAGTGCGGGAAGGAGAGGAAGCATCGGGCAAGGAGCCCACACCGCCCAGAGGTCCAAGAGGCGCTGCATGGGCAGCATGCGTTTCGCCAGAGGCCCCGGTGCGGGCCCCGCGGGCAACTCCAGCCAGTGGCCCGTGACCACCGGAGGGGCCAACGCCACTGGGGAAACGGGGTCGCTCGGGGAAGACGAAGGTCCGCAGAAGGACACCCGCAACGAGGAGCTAGCCAAGCTGGAGATCGCTGTGCTAGCCGTGACTTTCGTGGTGGCTGTGCTGGGTAACAGTAGTGTGTTGCTGGCGCTGCACCGCACACCTCGCAAGACGTCCCGCATGCATCTCTTCATTCGCCACCTCAGCCTGGCGGACCTGGCTGTTGCTTTTTTCCAGGTGCTGCCGCAGCTGTGCTGGGACATCACCTACCGTTTCCGGGGGCCCGACGCACTGTGCCGGGTGGTGAAGCACCTGCAGGTGTTCGTCATGTTTGTCTCGGCTTACATGTTGGTGGTCATGACCGCTGACCGCTACATCGCGGTGTGCCACCCCATGAAGACGCTGCAGCAACCCGCGCGCCGCTCGCGCCTCATGATCGCTGCGGCCTGGGTGCTGAGCTTCGTGCTGAGCACGCCTCAGTACTTCATCTTCTCCATGGTCGAGGTGAACAACGTCACCAAGGCCTACGACTGTTGGGCCACCTTCATCCAGCCCTGGGGTTCCCGAGCTTACGTGACCTGGATGGCGAGCGGCATCTTCGTGGCACCGGTGATCATCCTGGGCACCTGCTATGGCTTCATCTGCTACCACATCTGGCGCAACGTCCGCGGGAAGACAGCGTCGCGCGAGGGCAAGAATGCGGAGGGCACTGGTGGTGCCTTCCACAACGGGCTGCTTCTCGAACCCTGTGTCAGCAGTGTGAAGACCATCTCCCGCGCCAAGATCCGCACAGTGAAGATGACTTTCGTGATCGTGACGGCTTACATCGTTTGCTGGGCACCCTTCTTCGTCGTCCAGATGTGGTCTGTCTGGGATCAGAAGCTCCGCTGGGTCGGTAGGTGTCGGAACAATGGAGGAAGGGGCTGGGATGAAACCTTGGGGGTGAGGCGCGAGTTGGGGTGAGGGCTCTTTTTATAATATCTTCTGTGGCAATTGTTCTTAAATTTTTGTTTGCATAAGTATTACACCTTGGCTGAAATTATCAAAAAAGGCAAATTCCTGGGGTCCCCACCCCAGCCATTTTGAGTCCCTAGCTCTGGAATGGGACCCAGGAATCTGCATGTAGCTTGCAGTGATCCAAGACCCCAAATCCAGAAACCGTGCCCTAAAGTGAGCCACACAACTACGAAACAGAATGACTTTTGTTTTTTTTTTTCAGTGTTAATAATTTTTCTCCATGAAGGCCTTCATCTCTTATATTAGATTTCTTCCTAGGAGTTTCATATTTTTAAATTCTATAGTAAGCTTTTTTAAAATTACATTCTATTCTAACTGGTTGTTGCTGATTATAGATGTATTGTTGTGTTGATTTTGAATACAGCAACTATGCTAAACTTTTATTAGTTTTTTTTAATTGTTGTCACCACTACAGATGTCCCCTAATTTTCCCTTTTTGTTCACCTCCACCCAGCCCCTGTCCCCCCTCCCCTGTCCTTCACTACATCTGTGTCCATGGGGCACATATATATGAATGACTTTTTGCTGATCACTAATCTCTGTATTAATTACCCTGCTTTCAAATCTATTGGATCCAAGGAAATATTTCTCTTATCACAACTGCTTTTTGCTAGTTTGTGAAAAGTATCACAATTAATATAAAAATTTTGTAGAAATGCCCCAAGGGCAAGGGTAAAACATACATATTTTTCTCTGAAGAGTCTCAAGAAGTCAATAATTCTAATTTGGCATTTAACTAGTGTTTTCTTTCTTATCATCTTTTTCTAACAATTACTTTAACACTCTTTTTTTTATATTTTAAAGCACAATTATTAATAAATCAGATTTGTTAGACTAATTACCTGGTCTTTTTAGCAATAACTTGACCTCACAGCTATACACCTTTTCATGCAACCCTTGCAACAGTTTACAAAGAACATTTTCTACACCTACTAGCTTGTTTGCTTTCAATTCCTTGACAAACTAGAAAAACTAACTTCATAAGAATTTGCTCCAAAAGGAATTATTTAATATTGTATCTTAAAAAAATTTTTTTTCCTTTTAGTAAGAAAAAAAACTTTCAAAAGAATTGTATTACAAGAATGTTACCAACAACTATAGTTGGGAAATGGGTATCTGGGAAGAAATGTCTTCTTGTTATTGGAGATTCAGTAGGGAGTGTATGTAAAATAGTTTAGAAGTTATGTGTGCAAATAAAACATTTGAAAGTGAATTTAATTCAAACAAATGAAAATTCTTACATGACTATAATGATACCAATGAAAAATACAACATAAATGCTATATTTTTGATTTACCATTTCCTGTCTTGCTTGGTCTTAGCGGCCTTTTCATTATTGCTTATCAACTAAAAAAATTTAGTCTAATAATTACTTTATCAGGATTTAAACATGATTACTAAAAAATTATTCACTTATGTGTATGTTGATGATTTACATTCTTTTTGCATAGTCTTAGCCATGGATTATGACCACCTTTAAAAGTGTGGTATCTTAGCACAAAGTATGATTAAATAACCTGCATTTCATTCTGGCATAGCATGAGTGAGAAGACCCAGGCTTGTATTTTACAATCGAGGAAAAGCTGGTGCTTGCTAATTATTACCTTCACAAAAAGCATATTATCTGTTGTTCTACTGTGAAAGATTATAACATGTATGTAGTTTACCAGTGCAAACTAACATAGAATATTTGTTGGAATTTCCTAATTCAGCTGTTCTTAATAATAATATAATTTAATTTTTAAAGCCACAATGAAACATGGTTTTCTTTTAAATTAAAATAATGTTTTAGTTAACCAAAGAAAAACAACTAAGTATTGCATCCTTCAGGGACCTATTTCAACTATTCCCTCTGTATGGTTTTGTTATTATAAGAATATGTTTTAATATTAAAACCACTAAACATGGTCCATGATGTCATACTTTTTGCCTGGGTTATTTGGGATGAATACAGTTTGGTGTATGTGGATGTAGACTCTTGAAATTTCATTGAAATTGCAGCTGTTCTGTAAGTGCTGTGTCCTTTAGCACATGCAAAATTTTAAAAAATAAATTACTTAATATTCTTAACCTCTTAAACATCCACTTATTCTACTTAAATATTTAATTAATTTTGAGGCATTTTGCTTACAAGAATATTTTATAACCAAGCAGTTTTCCTACACCTATTTCCCTGCATGATAAACAAGACTTCATTTTCTATATTACCCTATAAATATTTTCCTGCTTTCATTAGTCTATAGAAAAATTAATTTATCTTGTGTCAGTTAGCTGCATTTGACTATTTGAATAATCTCCCCTTATGTTTTCCTTAGAGTCAGAAAACACGGCCATCACCATCACTGCGTTACTGGCATCCTTGAATAGCTGCTGCAACCCCTGGATATACATGTTTTTTAGTGGCCACCTCCTGCAAGATTGTGTCCAAAGCTTCCTGTGCTGCCAAAACATGAAGCAAATATTCAACAAAGAAGATTCTGACAGTATGAGCAGAAGACAGACTTCTTACACTAACAACCGAAGCCCGACAAACAGTATGGGTACTTGGAAAGACTCACCTAAATCCTCCAAGCTCATCAAATTTATTCCTGTTTCAACCTGAGCCCCTCATTCATGCAGCTGACTCTTGAAACAGACGTTCTTGCCATTGGCTGATCCCAACCAGCAATCAGGAGAACAAATGAACTAAGATACGCGTAAATCAGTTTGTCGGTTACAAGACTGTGTTTCTGGTTCCGTTTTCACACTGCTGTGACCAAAAGCTATGAATTTTTTTATGGAGAATAGTAACAAAAACGTACACTAAAATTTTCAGGTCTAAGTCCCAGAAATATAACAAGTTTCTAAAGGAAATATAACAAGTTTCTAAAGAAAAAATCATAACTATCCTCACTTTATATTTTGTTGTTGGTTTCTTTTGTTTTCTTTTTATTTCTGACATAATTAAGGTTTGATGGGCTTAGAAGTCATGTGAGGTAGGGGCCTTATTTCTGAACAAAGTGAGCTCACCATCAATCAGTCCTAGTGTTTGAAAGGAATCAGAAGAGACTTCAGATAATTTGTTTCCATCCAATAGAATCAGTTTATACATTAGAAAATGCAGCCTCAAACAGTGGCCTGGAAATAGGATGGTGCCTTAGAGAGGCAGTAACAGGGGGTATCTGATTCTGAGCTGAAAGAGCAAAATTCTATTAGAAGCGATAAATCACCTAAATTTCAAAACAGGAACCTTAGAAATGGCAGTTCCCTCACTTCGGTTCCTCGTGTTTTATTGGTTGTAAAAAGTTAATGGACTAAAATGCTGAAGGTTAGGAAAAAAATGTGTCGATTCACTGATAACATTTTTTTCTACAGCAAGGTCATTTTAAAGTCAGATTTGTATCGGAAATACAAATTTGTGTCAGAAATAGCAATTTTATTAGAAGAGTAGAAGTCGCCCAGCCGGTGTGACTTAGTGAACTGAGCATTGTCCCATGGACTGAGAGGTCCCAGTTCAATTCCTGGTCTGGGCACATGCCCAGGTTTCGGGGTTCAGGCTCGATCCCCAGTGAGGGACATGCAGAAGATAGCCGACTGATGTTTCTATCTCTCCCTTCCTCTCTCTCTAAAAAAAAAAATCAATAAAAAAATTTAAAAAACAAAAAGAAAAGTAGAAGTGCATTGCCTAAGGTACTATGCAGACTATATCTAGAACATTGTGAATATGTTTTGACCAGTGTCAAACCATAACACTGTGCTATTGACAGTGCCCTTTAACAAAAGGCTATGCTGGGTATTAATGTGATCATGACTTTATGTGTGGGGGGTCCAGATTCACAGATAAAAGAGTCTACTAAAGAGTGACTCAGGATATACAATGTCCCTGCCTGTTTAATTATAAAAATAACTGGGTCTTTCCTTCAGCTCTCCCACCATCTACCGGTGTCAATAGGAAGAGAGGCTGAGGGAGATGGAAAGAAAACTGCTCTGCACCTCATCTGGCCTCTTTTGTTATTAAATGCATTTTAGGCAAACGACTTAAAAATACATCAAGCCTCTATTTCTTTGGTTATACATGGAGTTGATAAAACTTACCTTGCAGGGTCATTGTGAGGAGTAAATGAAATCAACTGTGTGAAAGACCTTCATAAATAAACTGCCAAGGGCTGCATAAAGGCTGGCAGTAGCTTTTATTGTAGTCTTGGGGCCTTCAGAATCACTCAGCCTTTTTTTTTGTTTACTTTTCATTAACCAGAATTTGTTGGTTTCATGTCTGGGATATAAAATCCTAAAACTTAAATATAACTTCGCTGATTCATTGGAAAGCACCGCCGGTGCCGCCGAGCCTGACTTCTGCCTGTTCCCCAATTTAAACGTAGAGCTTGCTTTCCTTTGAATGCAGGTAAATCCAAGCCCGCCAAGAGCATCCATTTCTTTCATTGCTAAACAGATGAATTACAGCACCACTTGGCTGTTATTACTGCATTTTTTTTTTTTTTATTAATGGACCTCAGTGGGTTTTTTCAGGCTGTTTTGTCTGGCTCCTTTTCTTTCTTAGAGACCATGCAATGATTTGAGGATACATTATAAACATTTCAAGGAAGTAATAGCTATTTTAATAGCAACTCTTCAGGGAAGTAATAGCTATTTTAATAGCATTGTTGTTGTTTTTTTTTTTAATTAACTCTGTAGATAAGAAACTGAGGACTGGATGGCACTGTGAGAACCAACGTCACTCTTCTTCATTCTCTTGCCTTTCCAAATTCTCAGGCCTTTTACTCCCTGGATTGAAATACCTTAAAAAATGTTTGCAAATGTTTTATAGAGATTAAGCCCTTAGGTCTCAGAATTCTGCTTTTCTGTCAAATAAGATGCATCTCAATCTACCCAGCTGTGTTTTCTCCTTTTAAATGCATTGTGAGAAGATAGAGAAACAGGGTGGGAAGACACCAGAGATCGAGTGCTAGTTCTGCACTAAGCAAGTATATGGACTTATTCTCTGTGGTTTAGTCTGAGAAGCTTAACGTTGATAGTTGCTAAATTTTCTTAATGTTATGTACCTAGGAATGACATTCATATGTCCCAAATCAATATTCCAAATTGGAATAGTTCTGCCTGCCAGTTTCGGGAAGAAAAGAAACCATAGGTGGTAAGGAAAAAAGAGATTTCCCATTCCTGACCAAAGAGAAGATCTGAGATATTATGCCAAATAAAGGCTTGCAGTTAAGAGTAAATGTGTTGTACCACCTTATTTTATTTTGTAGAGTTATCTGTGGGAAGATCCTCCAGCTAAACAATATCAGTGTATCTATGTGGGTATGGGGAAGCGATTGATAAATAATCGCCTGTAGGGAGAAACTGATGGTATTGTCTGTTGAGCATTTGATAACTAGTAGTTGATGATGAAAAAAAATGTTTTAAAGTATATAATGTGCTTAATGGGTTAATTTTTGGACATGTATTTTTAAGGTGTATACTAAAATATCATTTCGAACATAACTGTTAAGAAAATTAGTGAAATTCCATGATCAATTATATACTTGTCCTACATATAGAACGTCTATCATCCTCAAAGCAGTCTTCAGCCACGATTGAGGGAAGAGTGTGGTTTTTAAAGAGAAAAAAATCAAGTGGTCCTAATAACATGCAGTACCCTCCTAAACTTATTATATTTCCTAGAACGGACAAACCATTGATGATTAAGAAACACAACTTTAATCTGTTATTACACAAGTAAGGCAATCCAATTATATCAAAGTTTTATGTTTTATTCAGATTCTAAAACCTACATTTTTATAATGAACTTGGACACTCAGAGCTTTAAATTGGAACTTAAGAGTTTTTTCTACCTTGAAAGCGTAATTAGGAGCTAACTAGGGAGACACTGAGCCTAGCCTTCACTCCAAATATCAAAGATTAGTCTCCCTTAGTTCCACACACACTGAGCCCTTGTGGATCTTCATACTGAAGGCAACAGCTCTATTTAGAGAAAGCCCAGGGCAGGGCCATCTGGGATGCGAGTTCAGGAGGTGCAGAAGCAGCTACTCCCCCCTTCCTCTCGCTTCGTCCCTGTGCCCTTTGTAGACTCAGTGTCATTTGCAATACTTGGGATCCTAAGTAACACAGAATTATTAGAGAATTTTTTGTCTTTTGACCCCAGCCAATCTGAGCAAAATTTTAAGAACTATTCATAAGAAGAGTTATGTCCTCAAGGCAACCTAAATGTGTTGAGTCACACAAGTTGCGTGTTTCTATTGTATACACAGACATTTAAAAAGTGTTGTTCTAATTCAGTTTATTAGGTATAGTAAATTATCATGAATAAAAAATATATTGGACCTTTAGTAGATCAGTATAAAAAATAAATATATAATGACTAAAATTTAAATGTCATTTTTTTATTTTATATAACATAAAATCACATCTTTTTACATTGATTTATAGTCTAAATAAAAGTGTCATAGAGTGAATTAAATATTTTTGTGTCCCAGAGTCAAAACCATAAGTACAAAAAAGAAAATCTGAGAATAAATCTAATAGTAATATCAGAATAATTTATTATTATTATTATAAAATAATTAGCATTTCCACACATGAAGGCAGTTATTTTTATATCACAGGATTTATGACATATTCTATGATGTATTAGCTCATTATTATAACAAATTTATTAAGAATTAATGTTGCATATTTAGTATTTCATTTTTGGAACTGTTTTCAAATGTTCTATATCTCCTAACTTATTGTGCTATATAGGAGAATTTCAATGTGTTTTCTTGGGGAAATTGTATGATTCTGGTTCTGATGAATGTTGAAATGTTTTGTGATTGTACCTAATATTTGATCCTTTACAGAAAAAAAATGGCTTGTGATATTATATTGAAATAACTGGTGAATTTATTTCTTAATTTTACTGTGTATTGGATTGATACTATAAATAAAAATAAATCTCAAAATTGTTTGAAATAATTTTTCTGTGATTTAGTTTAATGACGAAATATATTTCTATTTAATTATGTTGATTTTTATGAAACAAAGAAATACTTCACAGCTGGTAGCTATTGATAGCTTTATATTTGGAGCACAAAAATGTTCATATTTATACTCTATGGCAAAAACAGATGAAACTTCACAACTGCCTTTTCAATAAATTACCATAATGAAAGCCAATTAATTTTATTTTAGTCTGTACTAAGACATCCTAGCCTAAAAATGTCATCTCTGTCCATTTGCCTCTAGAAGTTGCCGAGACTGATTTCTTGGCTCACAGATGAAGACTCTTCCATTTCATAGTCTTTACAATTGGAATTCTTTACCCTGTGGGCTAACAAATTCAAATCATGTTAACTTTCAATTTATTTATTTATTTTTTTACAAGTTAAACTCTAATAGCATGGACTAAAGACTTATTTTGGGTTTGGCTTAAACTCTAGAAACAGTGAATGCCCAGAATGGAAGAAAGAGAATTTGAAGTCTCTATTTTAGAACTCACTGTTATTTTAAAAGACTTATAAATGCTTAAGAATAAACAGATTTCTACCAAAACATATTTTTTAAAAGGTCCTATCAATCAGGTAAAATTGAACTAATACTTCCATTGTGTACCAGAAGACACCCATATAAAGAAATGTGCTAGTGTAGAACTTATTTATTCATTCATTCTCTATCTTTAACCCTCTATAATCTCCAGGGTTAAGCATTTCTTCTTTTCAAATGATCTCTAAATACCTTCACTATGACATATATCAAAATGACTGCAATGTTGGTTTATT